GTGAGGCACAGTCCTGCTGGAATTGTGCCACTACCTGGCCATTCAATACTGCCAACTAAATAAATACTGAGAATTGAGTTATTTTGGTCGCAAAACTTCAATCTGTTTCTCTATCAACATCCAGCTATCGGTGTAAGGATCTCCACTCCCCTGGCATGCTGATTCCTGAAAGGGTGTCTGCCTCCATCTACAGGACTGGCTGAGCCTGCGGCGTCAAGGAGCAGCAGGCAGGAGGGGCAGAGGGAAAGCTGCCCCTCACCTGCGGGCACAGTTCCATCACATTGCCCCCTGTACTGGGTTGGCAAAGGATGCAAATGAAACCATGCTCAGGGAAAATGGTTTAATAATGTGAGAAAATATTTTGAAAGCTCAGTAAAGTTCTCACAGAATATTTGACAGTATGTTCTAAACCAAACAAGCCACACACACCAAAAACATGTTTGGCTTATAACGAGCTCATCTTGAGAAAAGACATGCACATGTTTATCTTCATGAACTAATACTTCTTTGAGGACAGTTTTGGTCATTCATTCCTCTTTGTATCCCCACTGCTTAGCACCATACTAGACACTAACAACCACTCAAATTAATGAACTGAAATGACTCAAAATAAATATGATTTCTTTAACTTTTATTTCATGCTGATGTTCTTTTAATAATCTGGGAGATAGCCCAGATTGTTTTCCCGAGTTTAACTTTACATCAACCCATGTTTTCTGGCTAGCATAGTTGTATTAGCATATCTAGGCTTCAGTGATATTCATCAGAACTCTAGTTAAGAAATATTTTATCTTGAGAGAATAATATTTTCCTCTTATTTTACAAAATTTGCTATTACCTTCTTAATGGAAAAAAAACCTACCCCAAAATGTTATAATTGTTTTAATATAGTTAGAAGTTCTGAGTAAATTTACTGCAGGCCAATTGGAGGTAAACGTACACTCTGTAACACATCTAGTGAACAATTGAGTTAGTTTTCAAGGAATGCCCTCAGCAAGAAACAGAATCTTCAAATTAGCCATCTGGCATACACCCTGCTAACCCCAAAAGGAAAAAAACCTCCACAGTTTCAACTCTCTAAAACAGCCTATATTTCTACTCTGCTGCCAAGGGTAGATTCTGTGCTTTCCATTAACCTGGGAGCTCAAGATTCTGAGAAAAACACACCACTGAGTACTTCTAGACTTTTCTAGTCTCCTTTAATTACTGCAGGTATGGACTGCTGATGTGGTCTTTCAACATCACATAGATATGTCCTATTCAACTAAACTAGTTACTGATTACCCTATCCTATATAATAAAAGCCTAATATGCTTAAGTGTCCAGTCATCCATTCAACCAATCGAAGTGTAATATGCTAATGATATGCTAAGGCCGCCCAACCACTTGCTATGATGTGCACTGACCACCGGGGGCAGACAGTCAACCAGTCACCATGATGTGCACTGACCACCAGGGGGCAGAGCTCCGACTGATAGGTTAGCTTGCTGCTGGGGACTGAGACATTTGGATTTTAAATGCACTTTTTAGAGGCCTCTAGTCTATATAATAAAAGCCTAAGTGACTGTTACAGTGGAACGACCAGAATGACTGGTCGCTATGATCGCACTGACCACCAGGGAGCAGACGTTCAATGCAGGAGCTGCCCCCTGGTGGTCAGTGTGCTCCCACAGAGGGAGCGCCACTCAGCCAGAAGCCAGGCTCATGGCTGGCGAGCTTAGCGGCGGTGGTAGGAGCTTCTCTCACCTCCGCAGCAGTGCTAGAGAGCAGCGAGCCAAGTGGTAAGAAGCAGCGAGCAGGCAGGCAGTAAGGAGCGAAGGATCCCAGACTGCGAGAGTGTACTTGCTGGGCTGAGGGACAATCCCCCCGCCCCAGTGTACGAATTTCGTGCACCACACCTCTAGTCTTCTAAAATGCTTTCAAGTCTATGAAATAGAGTCACCGTGAACATTCAGAGAACAAACCTCCCTTCCTCATATAACTGAAGCTGTGGTCAACACTTGAACTTGAAGGCCAACAGATCTCATGCATCAGGGGCACTACTGACCATTTTTATAAGAATATCTCCTACATAACCAGCCATTTAGCAACCTGGCTTTACCCATTTAACACCCTCACCTATGGTGACAAGCAAAAATTCTCTGAACTTTAAACTGAGAGGCAAACACTGTCTGGAGACATTTAAGATCTTCCATGTTTCTAAATGCTTAAAGAAGGGGTGTGTACTACCCCTAGCTGAAAACCACTCGTAAGTGCTTTAATGCTCCACCAACAAACAGAGATTCACTCTTCACCTGACCTAGGCAAAGGAGACACCAGGATAAATATGACACAGCCCATCTTTGAGTCTAGTGATGCTGTCTTACCTTCTACCAATAACACTATATTGGGACACTCAAAGGAACAGCCCAGAAGAATATATCTAAAATGGTACATACTGTCACCCATCCTTGAGCAAAATAAATAAAGGTCCAATGGACTTAAATATTAATGTATTTTGAAGGAGCTCAGAAGCCTGGTGTGAGAAAAAATATCAGAGCTTTGGAGTCAGTTAGAAAAACCTAAGTTCCAATCTCACCCCTCCCTGGACCTATTCCTCTCATAATTTGGGGTAAATCACTCTCTCTTCCACCCACCTGGGTGGTGTTCAGGATTATTCCAATGACTGGAGGACGCTGCTGGCAATTAGTGGGTGGGGTCACAGATGCCAAATGTTTTGCCAAGGACAGAAGAGTCCAGTTCAAAAAATAATTGTTCCAGGCTGGCTAGTGTTCCTCAATGGTTGAGTGGTGACCCATGAACCAGGAGGTCACAGTTCGATTCCTGGTCAGGGCACATGTCTGGGTTGAGAGCTTGGTCCCCAGTGGGGGCGTGCAGGAGGCAGCTGATCAATGAGTCGCTCTCATCACTGATGTTTCTCTCTCACCAAAAATCAATTAAAAAAATTTAACAAAAAAGAATTGTTCCACCCAACCACCAACAGTGTCCACCATAAGAACTGTCCCGCCCTCAGTTTCCTTAATTGTCAGAATAGTGCTAAGCATTCCAATCTTTCAGGCTGGGGGTGAGGTTTAAATGACATGCTCTAAGTAAAAGTACCAGTCCAGAAGTGCACAGTCAGCCCTTGAAAAATGCTGTTCTCACCTTCCTTTCCCCCTCCTGAGTTGCAAACATTGCATAGAGCTCATTATAAACAGGTCTGTCATATATGATACCAGAGGCCCGGTGCACAAAATTTGTACATGGAGGGGGGGTTCCCTCAGCCCAGCCTGTACCCTCTCGCAATCTGGGATCGCTGGCTCCTCACCATGCGCCTGCCTGCTTGCCTGATTGCCCCTAACTGCTCTCCTGCCTGCCTGATCGCCCCTAACTGCTCTCCTGCCTGCCTGATCGCCCCTAACCGCCTCTGCCTTGCCCCCGCTGCCACAGCTTCGTCAGGAAGGATGTCCAGAAGGTCGTTCAGCTGTCTGGTCTAATTAGCATATTATGCATTTATTATTACAGATAGCAAAGAAACAGAGTGGAGCATTTTCTCAAAAGCGGGGAAAATTAGTAGGCAGCTATCCTCCAAATTTCACATTTTAGCAGTATCTGTTTAACAGGCTTTTGCAAAAATTCTCCGAATTTTTTAAAAAAATATATTTTCATTGATTTCAGAGAGGAAAAGAGGGGGGGAGATAGAGACATCAATGATGAGAGAGAAACATTGATCGGCTGCCTCCTGCATGCCCCACACTGGAGATCAAGCACACAACCGGGGCATGTGCCCTCACTGGGAATCAAACCGTGATCTCCTAGTTCATAGGTTGACATTCAACCACTGAGCCATGCCAGCCAGGCAAAAAAATTCTCTAAATTTTTAATTGAGAATCAAACACTCTGTTAGACCTTTACAATCCAGCTTCAATCTAACTTTTCACCACCTTTTTCACTCTGTCTCACTAATGTGCATAGCCTCTAACAGATCGTAACCACCTGCTAGCCCGTGCCCAGCCTAGAAGACCTGTTCCCAATTTATCTCTATCTTCCTGGCTCAATTCTCTACCTACAGAAACACCACTAATGCCTTGAAGGCCCCATTAAAACCTCTACCACGAAGCCCTCCGTATTCTCCCTTATTACTTCTAATGAGTATGTTCCTTGTGCACCATAAACTGGGCTAAACATTACAGCAGTGATTTTCAAACTGGGAGCCACAGAACTCAGACTTTTCAAGTTTCCTATGTAAAACTTCAATTGCAGTTTTCATTTCTATACTGGCATGGGCGAAAGTAAGTTTACAGGTGTGAGTATGCAAAACAGAGTATGTATTCTTGTTATTATTTATTAATTAGTGTATTATTTTCCACATGAACAACTGTAAGCCTACTCTTGACAACTCCTGTATAATCTAAAATAAAAATATAAGCACTTTCTGGATTTGGTCAACCACCCAAGATATGAAGGCTGACAAGCAATTGGAATGCCCACACCTAAATTTGTATATACAACAGTGTTCAAGCTAACGTGTTTCTTTAATTGCTAAAGGTTAATGAGACTACAGCGGTTGGCAAACTGCAGCTCGCAAGCCACATGCGGCTCTTTAGCCCCTTGAGTGTGGCTCTTCCACAAAATAACGGCTCTTCCACAAAATACTGACTTCTGCGCATGGGCCACAAAGTTTCAATCGCACTGTATGTGCGCGCCCGCACATGGTATTTTGTGGAAGAGCCACACTCAAGGGGCCAAAGAGCCGCATGTGGCTCGGGAGCCGCGGTTTGCCGACCACTGGACTAGAACAACAGCAAACTCAATACACAAATGATGTGTTCACAGCACATGGAGAGCAAATAACTTACAGCACACCATGGAAGCTGTGCATCGCTATTCCCAGGCACTGCATGTCTGCTAAATGGACCCCTCTGCCTCTAAAATCACCAGCACATAAGGTAAACCTGGCCCCCATTAGGACTAAAAGTTTTTACTGCCTCTAAGAGACACAGCCAAAATACCCTTTCAGATTGAAATAAGATCACAGTGACAAATCGCAATTCTGTTTCCAATCTTGTTAACACCAGGGTGTTGGGTTACTAGGACATTTGGTACCACTAAGCATTTCCATTTGTTTCATTAAACTTTCAATAAAGGCTTTGTTTGTGTTTATATCCTTGAAAAGAAAGATTTAAGCTCTCTTAAAAGGTAAAACACCCACACAAAGGATTATCTGCTCTCCCCATAACATCTGGCAAACTCTGTAAAAGATGAAGACAAAATTAGTGTTCAAATAAGCACAATTAACATTTTCAGTGTCAGCCAGTCTGTGCCTATCTGGAGACAATGAGAATAGGGAAGTGGCAAGTAGGCAAGAGACTAGTTTGTAGTAAAGTGGTTAGCTCCAGAGAGGAGCTTAGATGTGAGAAGTGCCTAAAAGCCCAACTCCCGGAGAAAGGCAGGCAGGGTTTCAGGGCAATTCTGATATGAACCTGAAATCGGCCCACCTTTTCCTTCTAACAGGGCTCAAGTTTCCCAGTTTGTGGAGTCTACCTGGGGTTTCTTTTAAACTCCTCTCGCACATTACCTGACTGTTCGTGTTGTCCAGTGATGCCAGGCACCACAGGCAGGCTGCCCACACCAGCAGATCTGACATTCTGGTGGAGCCCAGTCTGGCTTCCAAACTATTTTTAACTACTGTGTAACTTTGAATTTTAAATTCTCCATTAACAGTCAGGGTAGTAAGAGCAGGAACTTCCCCGGAGAAGTCTACCAATTTAGTAGGAGCTTTCTTGGAAAGATGTGGGATTTTACCAACAGGCGGCCATAATGCAAATGGTCCGCAAACAGGGAAACTGAGGAACACATAGCCGACTAGAATCAAATCACAAAACTAAATACTACTGGGACCAGCTCAGTCACGGAGTTCTGTTTCTCGAAATCCACTTTTCCTTGAAGCCCTCAAAGTCTTTAAAACCTGAAGTGAACACAGCTATCTGGGGCCCGTCCTTGTAATCACATGGGTTACACACTCGCCTAGCGCAGGCTGGGGGAGGGCGTTTCAGCCTCTCTTCGCACCAACGATCTAAAATGGGAAGTTGTATTTACTTTGACCCCTCTTCCTCCCTAATGACGGGGGAAAGACTCGGGAAAAGGTTTGGTTTGTATTTTTGGGTTTTTTTTCTTTCAGTGAGACGCGTCAAATACAACACAACAGCACCCCCAAAACCAAGCACATGGATTTTATAGCAGGTGGAGGAAGGAGGAAAGATTACAGGGAAGGAACACGAATTCATTACTGAAACCAAGGCAGTTCGAGTACCGTTCCTGGAGGCCGTTTGGTAAAGGGCATGTTTCCGAAGAAAGATGGGAAAGAACGAAAGAAGGCGGCACCATTTACGTCCCGGCAATGGTAAATAAAACAGGCGAGGTGTTTATAAATTGATGAAGTCTTGGGGACCCGGTATCACAATTCTTTTTTTTTTAATCGTTTTTGAGAACATTTAAATAAGCCGGCAAAATAACAGCTGCGGGAGGCGCTCGGAGGCTTCCCCCGCCAGCGCTCG